TGCCCCGGGACAGGGCTCGCAGAGGTGCTGCCGGTGGGGAGCCTGCAAGCGTCGGTCTCCACAGCGGGTCGGCAGGACGAGCTTCAGCTCTTCCCCCTGCCATTGCAAGAGGACGTAGTCACTCTGACCAACAGCTAACCTCATTTCCAAGAGCTTCTCCCCCTCCTTCAGCTGGTCTCCCTCGCCTTTTGTTCCCCTCTTCCTTTCGCTCTTTCACTCCTTACCCTTTTTCTGCTCCTCGGTTCCTGCCTCTCCTCCCATCCCACCCTCAGTCTTTTTTTTACGTTTCATTCACAGCATTTGACCGCTGTTGCCGCTGGAGGATTTATAAAGCCTGTGCTTTGCAGTGTATTTGCCCTCTTGGATGCCCTGCAAGGTAAGATACTCAGATGGAGCGAGGCGAAAGGCACGCGGCCAGCCAGAGTCAAGTCAAGAAGGAGAATTCAGATCTGCAGGCGCTGAGTCACCTCCTGCAAACCCCAAACGAGGTGCTTTTTAAATTTATTTTATTTTCACCAGTCTTGTTTCCTCTTCTTCTGTCATTTATTCTCTCCTTTCTTCACGTTCTCCTCCTCTCGCTTTACCCTCATCTTCCTTTTTTTTCAGTTTTCTCACTTCTGCTTTCCAATCTTTCTGGGGTTTTGCTGGTGAGGATGTCTTTCAGGGTGTAATTGCCTTCCATTGGGCAAAAATAAGGTATTCGCGGCACAAATGTCACTGACTGTTGACAGAGCCACAGGCTACACCCCTGAGACGTGCTGAGGACTTTCTTTCCAGAGCAGTGATATACACCAATACAGCAAAAAGCCCTTTGCTCACCTTGCCCTGCTCGGTCTGCGGCAGAGACACTGCTGCATTTCCAGCTGTAGTTAACCTTGTCCACTTCCACCCCTCTTAGCAATCATCGAGAGCCGTAATGTAGATCAGTGCCCTGTTAGTGCCACTATTTTTAGGACTGTGGGTCTGGTTTGTGGTTGTCTCATTCCTACCACTTGTTTAGAGCACAGGCTGGACAGGGGGAAAGGGGATGGAGAGGGAAAGGTAAATATGGTATTAACCCTCCCACCGATAGTCTGGAGTTGTTAGGAAGCTCTTCTACCCACAGCATCTATCAGAGCAGTTGCAGGACTGCTCTACGTTATCCTTCAGCTTTCCGTGTGCCCTGGGGAGGGCTTTTGGTCCATAGCCCACTGCCACCTTCCCACTTTCCCAGGCGGGATGCGGTGCCACCCCAGCCCCGGGCAGGGAGCACAGCCGGGAGCCAGCCCCACCAGCCGCTCCTGCCGGGGCTCCAGGCTCTTCCTGCAAGGCTTCCCCCGGAGCAGGTCTAACACCTTCCGGGAACTATTGGATTAATCCCAGCAATGCCAAGCCCAGAAGGTGTCCGGTCCTGGCGGAGCGGACTGCTGCTCTCTGGGCTGTGGGCTGCCCTCCTGGCCTGGCCAGAGACACCCCAAGAACCAGGGACCGACCCAAGAAGCTTATGGCCACACAGAGGACCTGCCAGGGACCTCACACCTGCCGAACCTCCATCCCACGAGGGATGGTCATGCTCTGAGCAAGCTCCGTACCATTTTGTCATGTGGATGGCGGAGATTATTATCCACCGTGACTCACAGGAGAATGCAGTGTGATCGCAATACAGTCACTTTCAAAAACAAAGTGTCGTCACTCCCTACAGCAAGTAGGTAAGAAACCGAGCCCCCACAGGGGCTGGCAACAAATGCTTCCTCCCAAGTCCGTTCTGTGTGTATCTACGTGTAATATGAGATTTGTAAAGTCATATCAGTATGTGTAGATTATATATAACTCTGCATACTTATATGGTGATTTCTTATGGCATTGACTGTTGCACCATGTTAAATACATTTTGTTTTGGTTTGATGACTCTGTTTTGCTGTGCTGTGTTTATTTCAGCTCCAGAAATAGAAATATTGGCAATACCTGGCTAACCTGCTGCAAATGATGGCACCATCAGAAAGGCTGTTTAAATTTGAATAAGTTGATCTTTTTTAATGTAAATACTTTATGTATGATTTATGTGACATTTTCATTCTGACAGCTTGGCATTTATCGCAAAAGATAGATAACACATATGATGTGTTAGTTTATCACCTCTAAAAAAGAATAACCATCCCAGACACATGGAGGAACCAGGTTTGGGTTCAGGGTAATGATTACGGTTGGGCTGGGGCCAAACGGGATAACATTGAAACTTAAAGAAAAATCCAAACTTAGATCCACCCTACAGTGATCCAGTCCTAACCCCCATCTACACCGTGCCACCTACCACCCCCAGGCAGAGCTGGGAGACTTTGGCAACTAGGAAAGGATCAGGCCTGAACTCAAAGCTCAGACTCATCCCTGATTTACTTGTATTCTGAAGACGGAGTAAATGCAAGTCTTAATATGGTTCCCTGTCCTTACCTTCATTCACACAGAAATTTAAAACCAGCACATATGGAAGATGCATGAGATGGAGGTGGCTGAAACTTCACGAAACAGGCTGGAGTATTTCAACAGAGTTTCTTACTGAAGGAGGTGGTAGGGAGGAAGACAAGAAAGGAGAAAGGAAGAAATGGTAGAATAATATAAATTAAAAGAGAACAGAGTTCAGCTGCAGCTAAGATAATTCCCAAATGAGCAGCGTAACTCAGTTACGGCAAGCTTAGCCCAGACAGGCAGGATGAGTTTCAGCCTTCTTGTGTAGCTGCTGCAGCCGCCTGTGGCTTTAAACACCATCTCCAAGGTCTTGGCATGGCCAGTTTGGTCCCGTATGTGTTTCAAGATGGAGAGTTATATTTGGGTTCTCAGAAGTGGCCACATTAAACAGTGTTATTATCCAACATGAACAAGCTCTGGCAATCCCATTATTATGATGGGTTGGGCAGAGAATGGGGTCAGTTTATGCCCAGTTTAACCTTTTCAGTGTCCTCAAAAGCCACTGTAACATCCAGCAGCTCTCAAGCTGTGTCCTTGGCAGGGTTTGGAAAGTCCAGAGGGTTTCCTCTTCCTCACTCCTTGTGTTCCGTCCGAACTTTGGGGCATTTATTTGAGAAGCCATCCC